CCTACAGACCACTGCCAGATTCAGTAGGTTTGGCGAGGTGACGAGACACAGCACATTCGACAGCATTCGACAGGGAACCAGTTTAATCAGATATTGGTTTGCACCGTTCTTTTCAGTATCACAAGTTCTGCATTTTTCTAAGAAATACAAAGCACTCTCAGGTTGCACAGAACACTGGTCCTGGAGAAAAACGAGAGGGAGAGAACAAGACACTCTTGATACAGACATGTCAGCCACCGCACTGGGCGCGGAAGGGAAACCCCTCACCCCCACCTCACCAACGGCGACAGTCGCTTTACAGGAGCAAGAGAGATGGACCCAGGGGGTCCATGCCACAGCAGCGGGGCTGTGGTGAGGTGCCCCCCACCCACCTGAGGTCAGGGTGCCCCAGCGTAACTGTGGGACACATCCACACCCCCATTAGCACAACACTAACGAACACACCGCTTCCGTGTTCCACAACGGAGTGAAAAAACCCCTTCATAAAACCAGTTGACAAGCACCCAGGTTCATCTACTCTAGATAATAATAAACTCAGAGCCAGGGTACGTTACTTCATCCACAAGATTAACAGCTGATTCAATAGGTTGAACACATGCTACTTACAGCACATAAATAGAAGTTGCCTTTTTTTTTTTTTAAATTAAAAAACACGTTATGGAGGTCTACAGTCCGATTGCCTAGACACTGCCGCATGCACACGACTATCGGCCTCCACAGAAGCGGGCTGCTCTGGGCAGCGAGGAAAGCTGTCTCTGCATCAGCTATTCCAGGTGTCACGGGACAGCTAGCCTGCCCCCATGCTCGCACGTTATCCACACGGCCATTAAATAAATACAGTACTAGCTAAGAGTGGGTTTTAATACAAACTCTATGGATTAACATTTCTTTTTGAAAACAACCCTAAAGGGTTACAGTTAACAGATATCATCATCACTTTATTTCTCAGAACCAGAGATAGTGTTGAACAAACAAACAACAACAACAAAAAAAAAAAAAGAGACACGGCATGTCATTTCCAGAAATGCAACCAGGGTACAGGGTAGCTCTCAGTGAGACGAAGGGCTTCTGCAGCCGGGAGAGGAGGGGAGCCACAGCAGAAGATGGCAGCTCCCGCTCCCGGCGCGCGGCTGACCTTGCGACGCTCTCCGAGGGGATTTGTCACTGCAGCCTCCACCCCACCCCACTAGCGGGACCCACGGCATGTGGGACCACCAAGTCCCCCAGCGCCCACCGAGCCAGGGAGCTGTGGGAAGGTGACTTTGCAGGGAGGTACCCCAAAATAAGAGACCTTAAAATAAATAGGACCAGAGCTTCTTTACAGTAGGCAATGCACTAGCTTTAACATGAACAAAACTAAAACTAACAGTCACTTCTTGCCAACGGAGAAACTTTTCCTCCTTTTCACATTTTCCAGCCCCCTGCCCTCCCCGCTGCAGTACAGCCAGGATGGCATAGCTGGGAGGGGGCACAGCAGCAGCAAGTCCCATCCTCATCCAGGGCAAGCAGGGCCAGATGGGGAGGGGCCCTGCACAGCCCCAGTGCTGGCAGAGGGGAGAGGTGGCCGAGGGTGCCCGTGTCCATCCCCACATCAGCCAAAACAATCCTCAGCAGCTACCAGCAGCACTGCACTGTGACCCAACCATATGGCTCCAAATGCCACCACTACCAACAGCTGCGATCAAGTTGCCTCCTCCAAAAACACTTCTTCCAGAAGGAAGAGGGGCAGGGTTGGGGCACAAGCAGGGTCTGACCTCACTCATGTTCCCCCAGCATCCCACCACAGCCCAGGCTGGGGGGCTCGTGAAGGGCTGGCGGGGTACTGCCAGGGCTCACCACCCAGCCCGGGCTGGGGGGCAGGAAGGGGAACCCCAGCCCCATGGTGAGGGGAGGTGGGGCAGTGGTGAGGAGGGGGCCGGGATGGAGGGGGAGGCGGGGGAGCGGGCAGCGCTCACTTCTTGGAGCTCTGCGTCTTCTTGGGCAGCAGCACGGCCTGGATGTTGGGCAGGACACCGCCCTGGGCGATGGTCACGCCGCCCAGC